CAGATGTTCCCCAGTGCAAGTCCATCCACTGAGGTCTAGTCAGCCTATCTAGAGTCCCTTGTGTTAGGAAGATCAGCGTTTCAACCTAGTATCAATGACTTCCCAATATTTCTTCAGCTAAGATTGGGGTCTGCTGTTCATTTCCCTATTTCTATGCTGGGCTTTTGTCTCCTTGAGTTTGCATGAGTCTTGTGCATGTTAACACCATTGCTGGTTCATATGAGCAGGATCCCAGGAGCTTGTAGGACTCTGTTTCCATGTGGTCATGCACATCAGAAGTCTCACCTTGATATCAATGCCACACGGTGTGTCCACGTACCCAAACAGCAGGTGGTACCCCATGATGTCACATTCTACTCATGTGGATGGACAGTTCTATACATTAATTTCTTTAAAAGAAAATTCAAAAAGACCATCAAAATCAGAAAAATGCTGAAACTTCAAAAGAGCATATGTAGATATTCCTAATTCACGAATGAATTGCATAGCACAAAATAATGTACATCATTCATTGGAAACCTATAGAGTATGCCCCAGTACTTGGCGAAATAATGCAAAGTACACTGTCCATTGGCTACCTACAGAGTATGCCTTAGTACTTGACAAACAGTGCACAATACATCACCCAGTGGCTGAAACTTCAAAAGAGCATATGTAGATATTCCTAATTCACGAATGAATTGCATAGCACAAAATAATGTACATCATTCATTGGAAACCTATAGAGTATGCCCCAGTACTTGGCGAAATAATGCAAAGTACACTGTCCATTGGCTACCTACAGAGTATGCCTTAGTACTTGACAAACAGTGCACAATACATCACCCAGTGGATGCCTGTAGTGTTTGCTCCAGTCACTTGTATGAGTTTTTTTTTTAATAGAAGGAAGAGTTTATTTGGGTTTATGGTTCCAGATGGATAAGAGTCCATCACGGCAGAAAGGCATGGTAGGAGGCAGCCAGGGCAGGAAGCTGAGAACTCACATCTTCAAGCAGGCACAGGAGGCAGAGAGTGAAACTAGAAGACGGCAAGGTGATGAACTGTCCAAGATCACCCCAGTGACCTGCTTCCTCCAGTGAGGCCACCCTTCTTAAACCTCTGCAAACAGCACCACCAAGGGGGGCCAAGTGTTCAAATATTTGGAGCCTGTGGGAGGACATTCTCACTGAATGAGGAATTTTTAAAAATTGCCTGAATATAATGAAAGTATAATCTCAGCCATTTTCACAATGATCTTAGCCCTATCTTCATGAGGTAATATGTGAAATCAGACTTCTGTCCTCCTCCCAGTAGGTCAGGGGCCTGGAAGCCCCTGTCACATTCACAGCCTGTGATCCCACCTCATCAGGATACATTCACACACCTCAGCTGTTCCAAACACTGACCTACCAGGGGCTTTGGGAGCAGAGCTGCCCTTCTTCACCCATCCCCTGCATGTGTCCAGCATTCCCTTCCCTCCTCACACATAAACTCAGGTCCCTGCTTCTCATTCCTTGTCATCGTCCCAGCCCATGGCCCCAACAAAATCTCCATTCCCTTACAGCCACTCTAACCTGATACTCCGATCTTCCCTGGGACCTTGCAATCCCCTCTCAGCTGCCCACCATGTGTTCCGTGAAATCTCCAAAGTATGTAAGAAGAATCCATTTCACTTTCTGCACTTCTCCTTCTCACTTAGCACCTTTTTCTGAACCCAAAGTGGTTTCCTAAAAAACCTCTTTTATGAGGTTTTGCTTGTCCTTAGAGAAGGATGGATCAGGCAAATCTTTGCTCCCCAACCTATGGCTATACCAGGGTTGGACCATTTTCAATTCACTTCTCTTTCTCATTTTACTCCCACCATTATTTCTTCTATCACCTCCTGGGAACCATGACTTAGGCTGGGTTGCTGAAAGATGCCAGGATCTGACTTGGGATTTCAGTTTCTCTCATGACTTATTTTCATTGTGGAACATATCATCAGCTATCTCGTGACTCACCTTATACAAAATCTTCCCGGTTCTTCATCTATTTTCCTTTTATTTGCCCCTAATCTGAATTGATTCTCCCCTTCCCTATCCATTCCACTGTGTGTCTCAAGACTATGAGTCTCTAGTCTTCAGATGATGTAACCATATCTAACAGAAGGTACAGGTTGACCTTTAATAAAAGAAATGAAGAATTATTCTCTGGGTCTCCGAGAACCCAAATGGAGGGCATTGAAGTCACACTAGAAGTGGAGAAGCCAAGGTCAGACCTGACCGTGGAAATGAATACTGACCACAGTTGTGAAGGGTGAGTGGGAGTTGGCCAACAGACCAACAGCAGTTGTAAAGCCTTTCCAAGCCCAAAATGTTCACCGCACTCTATCATTTCCTTGCCTACATCTTCCCAAAACTCAGCAAAACAATCCATTGTCCCAACAGTTTTCAGAGGCAACTTGGTAAGAGTCAACCTGAGTTTCCAAAACTACTTCTATAAAATTTAGACTTGATCCTCTAATCTTCCAGCATATCCAAATTGTTCCTAAGGAAAATGCCCAGGTATTTGCTGGTATACCCTTCATGGTGCTGTACCATCTCCATGGAGACCTCTTCCCTTCCTTGGTCCACAGAACTGTACCTCTGAGGGCCTTTCATGCATGTGATGGCTTCTCAAAGTCATCTTCTCTTATCCCTGGAAGATGCCCTGGATATTTTCTGTTTATCCATCAAGACCAGATGGCTTATGAGGCAAGGATCCCTCCTGACAGTTTCTTGATCATGCCTCCTCCAGAGCCCTGTGTTCTTCTCTTATCCCTGGAAGATGCCCTGGATATTTTCTGTTTATCCATCAAGGCCAGATGGCTTATGAGGCAAATCCCTCCTGACAGTTTCTTGATCATGCCTCCTCCAGAGCCCTGTGCTCCTTGAACATAATTCTATCACTGAGCATGAATTTTTACCATAATTTTCTTACTGCTGACCTTCCCTAGGAAATTCTGAACTCCCCGAGGACATGGACCCACCTGCTTGTCTCCCAAAGCAGGTTATGAATGGCTGTTGGAAATGTTGCTGTGGGAGGCTTGCTTCATCCCCAACTGCCTTCCTGCCCAGGACCCCTGTTAAATCAAGGCAATGGAGCTAGAATTCCCTTCTCCTGTTTGCTTCTGAGATTGTCTTTGTGTTTCTCTGCTTCCATGCACTAGGTACCCAGGATTTCTGTTTCCTCCCACAGTGTGTTGTTTGGGAGTTGTGTCAGAACCCAGGTTTGTATGGATTTTGCTTGTGGTTCGGTCTCCCACCAAGAGTTAGGTCTCACAGACTGTAGCAGAGAGAGGTGGCTTGTCCCTCCTTCTCCATGCCTCACTCACAGATTCATTCTGCAGAGCTCAAAGACAGGGCCAAGTGTTCTTCCCACTGCTGCCAAAATAAGTCAGCAGTTAGGAGGATGAAAAGACTCAGAATTATGAAACAGGACAAGGGAGAGAGAATTGCATTACAAGGAGAAAAAAAGTGACAAGGCTCAGTAGCTACCTCCCTGTGTGACTGTCCCCAATTCCAACCACCTCAGAGAAAACCAAATGGGGGTTCACAGCTACTCAATCAGAGGGCTGTTAGGAAGGGAATAGAGTCTAACACAGGGATCTGCCTGATCAGCCCAGTTGGAAGGATGCAAGGTCCGAGTCACAGTCTCTACAAAACTGCTTCATTCAGGCAACAGGTCACAGCTTATGGAAGACTCCAAAGGAACCCTGTGAAGTGACCACTATGTTTAGAGTAACTCAGCTTGCCTGTGGAGAGGTTTATAAACACCTTTGACCAAGTATTCAGAAGACAAGCATGGTCTATAAACCCTTCCGGTACCTAATGGTGTGGGCACATGAGCCAGCCTCTCCTGTCACTGTGATGTATGGTCCAGACTGCGGGGGGTGTCACTTTAATGTTCCCTACTCATGCTTGGAAACACATTCGTTAGTCTTCTCATGATAATGATTATTGTCTTAAGTGCCAGGAGCATGTTTATGAAGGTTTACATGGGCCGTATTTTTCCTTTACACAGCAGAGGACCATTCTGAGCTTCCTCCATACCTCCCACTAGAATAAGACAGGTTCTTCTGCAGCTATTCCCCTGTTTCCCTAAAAGCTTGGGAGCCCTTGCTTTATGAAGGGCATTCCTCAAGCGTACCATTACTCTGGATTTTAAGAAAGAAGCATAGCCTACAATAACATCATTTAAAAATCCATGCGTGTAGCTTTGCATTCTGGCTCTGAGGAATTTTTTTGGTCAGCAAGTCAGATCCATGGCACAACTCCTGTGTGTAGAAAAACCTAAAAGCCTAGGGCTTGGAGATGACTTTCTGGAGACTTTTTTCTTTCGTATTGAAGTCAAGTAACTGTAGAAGTACTGAGGAATTTTTTTGGTCAGCAAGTCAGATCCATGGCACAACTCCTGTGTGCAGAAAAATCTAAAAGCCTAGGGCTTGGAGATGACTTTCTGGAGATTTTTTTCTTTCGTATTGAAGTCAAGTAACTGTGGAAGTGTAAACATTCCATGGGAATGTACCATGCGGAGGTAAAAGAACTGAGGAGAGGCAAGAGTAGATGCCATACGTGTTCAGTCCTGTCCTCTTGGTGAGTTTGGGTTCCTGTGTGCAGGGAGGATTGGGAATATGAAAGCCACCCCTGAATAATGAGGAGAAGGACCTGCTTGGGGCGGGGGGCTCAGCAGAGGCAGTGCTACCTTCTGGCAGAGTTAAGTCCAGCTCCATGGTACAAGCACCGGGTCAGCAGTGTGTGGACATTTTCACATGCTGGTGACAGTGAGTACATGCAGCCAACATATGTACTAGAACAAACCTTTTTGATTTTGATGAACTAAAACAAAGTAGTGTTAGAAAATAAGAGAGCTCTATCTTAGTTAATTTTGTTAAGTTCATTCCTTCCAGTCCTCTCCTGGGAAAATCTCCCATCTGATCATTTTTCCATCATCCATCCGGCATCTTCCTACTATAACGTGTGACCCTGGTGTTTTCTTTGTAGATGGGAGTCCGAAAGGCCAGCACCACAGCGAGTCCCCCAATGCACTCCCCAAAGCTGCATCAGAGCAAATCATGGGGTGTTGATGAAGCTTTGTGACCTAGGTTACTATGTACATGTTCCTATGTCAGTGGACTTCTCCTGGCTTACTGGTTAGGTGCTATAAGAGATTACATATCAAATTTTCACCTAAATCACAATTTTGGGGGGGGGGTGGAATAGATATATCTTATTGTTTATGCGATCTTTACCTGAAGAAATGCAAGTGTATTACTCCCTTTAGGAAGTTCAGGACAGTAAGATTGTACCTTGAAATCTGCAGTAAGACCCCCGCCCCCACATCAGGCGCAGAATCAGTGTGAATCTCTGTGGCACCCAGTGGGAGCCTCTGCTCTGGTGGGGTTCTGAGAGCTGGACCAGCCAATTACCCAGCAGCATTTTCTGTAACTCAACTTGTAACCAGGAAAAACTCTTGATTTCATTTTCCTTTACAGGGAAAATAAGTTTGGTGTGATTTCTTTTGTAGCCATTACATCTATTTCATCATAACTTTGAGAGATTCCATTTTGAATTTGTTTTCTATAAAAATCCAGATGAGTATTAAAAATGTGCATTCAAAAACAATAAGGGGCCAGAAAGATGCAGAGGATCCGGGTTCTATTCCCAGCACCCACATGGTGGCTAACAACCATCTATAACTCCAGTTCCAGGGGATCTGATGCCCTCTTCTGACCTCCACAGGCATTGCATGACACAGGTGCACTTACATACATGCAGGAAATATACACATAAAATAAAAACAACAACCATGACTCACATAAAATGGATATGCTCAGTACAAAGAAAAATGGGCTCTTTGTGTGTGTTTGTATACGTGAGGTGTGTGTGTGTGTGTGTATGTGTGTGTGTGTGTGTGTGTGTGTGTGTGCTGTATGCCTGTGTATGTGTGCACTTGTGTGAACGGGCATGCTTGTCTGCATTGAAACCAAGGGTCAATGCCGGGTGTCTTTGTGAGATGGGGTCTCTCATTGAATATGGAGCTCACCTAATTGGGTAGATTGGCTGGCCAGCAAGCCCGTAGGATCCACCTGTCTCTGCTAGCATCTTCATTATCCCCTCAGCCCTGGGGTTACAGATGTGCATGACCACACTTAGCTTTTTCTTGTTGGTGGGAAGTGTTCAAACGTGTCCTCATGCTTTTTCAGCAAGCACTTTACCCACTGAGTCTTTTTTTCGGGTCCCTTTTAACATTTTTAATGTGATCAATGGAGATGTCTCAGTGGCTAAGAGTATTTGCTGTTCTTGCAGAGGACCCAAGTTCATTTCCCAGCACCCATGCCAGGCAGCCCAGAACCACCCATAACTCCAGCTCCAGGGAATTTGATGCCTTCTTTGGGCCTCTGCAGGCCCCTGCATGTGTGTGCATGCACACACACACACACACACACACACACACACAAGTAAAAATGAAACGAATCTTTTTAAAATGTGCACAATAGTTTAATTCCTTGTGGAAAAGTAACGGAGGAAGAATTGATCTATATGTCAGTTTTTCGTGTAACATAGTGAACTTAGGTCTCGGTGTATTTGAAACTTACCCTAACACAGAAACTTGCTAGGATGATGACTTTGATCCTCCATTCTTGCATGAGTCTTACTTGGCTGTGAACCTGTAAAAATCTCCAGTGGGTCCCCTCAGTCTCCAATGATAAAAAGTCCTAATGGGCCATGTCAGAATTTAACATGGCCAGTTTAAATCTTGACCACAGTTCAGAACCTTGTTCCAAGTCAAAGCATGCCTTTTGACTAGTTCAGCCCTCCTCCCTACAGTGTCCCCCACAAGGGAGAGTGTGGTCCTGAGCCCTGTGTACTCAAGGTGCCTCTGGGTCTTAGAGGACCAACAGGAAGAAGAGGAGGAAGAGGACAGACACTGCAGCAGGCACATTGTAACCCAGCACTGGTCTCCCCAGATAAGACAGATTCATAGACTGCAGAGTCAGGACACTTCCCTAATGCCCTGTGCTCACTTCTGTGGACAGCCCCTTGTCACTGATTCACCCCTAGTCATCCCCAGCCCTCCTTCTCCCAGAAGATATCTCTTGCTTGAAAATGGCCCTACTCTCCAAGAAAAAGACTGCCATAAGAACAGCCCCACTTGCTGATCACAACTGTGGTTTTGAGGGCCCTGCAGTACGCTGTGTCCACACAATTCCAAAAGATACATAGCAAGCTCTCTGTCTGGTCTCCTAAAGCCGCTTTTTCTGACCTGGGGCAGAAGCAGCCTTGAGTGAGGAGCTCCAAATTCCTCTTCTCTCAAGCTGGCCCCTGTAACTTCATCTTACATCCCTGCAGGGGAGATGCGGGCCAGGACTCTTTGGGACCTCACCATGCACCAGCCCAAGGTGACATTTGAGGACCTGCACCCTATGCCTCACCTAGGATCATTAGAAATTCAGCCTCAGTCCTGTCCCACACTGACTGGATCTACTCTCGGTTTTGCAGGCACAGCTGGCTCTGAGTCCAGAAGAGCCCCCACTTAATGTGATGCTGTGTGTGAACAAAACAGAACACCCAAATGCCCCTGGAGAATCTCCTTAAATATAATCAGAGGAACCTGTGTCCCATCTTCCACAGGGCACCCACTAGAAGTTTTTCTTTCAGTTAGCTACAGGGAATAAGGTGCTGCACGTAACCCACCTAGAGTAGAGGGAGTGAGTGAGCTCTGCCTGCTCACTTTTCTAGAGATAAAAATCGAGAATGGCCTTGAAAATGGCATTGGGATTTAAAAAATAATTTCATTTAGTAGAAATGGAATAATGGACATAAAAAAGCACTTTAAAAATCACAGGCTTTTAAATGTGAAGCATTAGGTACTGGTTTTTGCTTCACAACTCTTAGAATGGCTCCCTCAACATTTTTGTTGATATTAAATTCACTCAAAATTTATATAATCTGGAGACATTGCATGTTTTTTAATCCCATTTTTTTGGTTAGCAAATATTTGGAGAAAAGAAAACTGCAGTTTTTAGTTTTAAATTGAACCACTGGAACTTGTGATTTTCCCTGCTAGACCTTTTCTCTCTGACTATGCATGGCCCGACTTCTCTTGACTGACTGGAGTAAAGTTTAAATGACAGCTATGTCACCAAGGCAGGATTTGAAACTTCAGGGAAAAGAATCCCATTCTCCATTTCTGACAAGCTGATTTTTATTATCCTTTCTTGAGCATACTGACTTTGAGCAGCTTGTAGACTCCTTTGAAGTACTTTAGGCCACCAATGCAAAATGTAAGGAAACATGAGGATATGGAGTCATGTGTGTGTGAGACAACAGGTTCCCAGAGTGAGCTTGCCTCCCATGAGCCTGAAGTGGCCATTAGAGGATGTCTGGCCGATGGTCTGCGTGTTAATCTTCCTTTATTTCAAGAGCATAAATCTTGAATATGTATTCATCTTTAACTTACGAAAGTCAATGCCTCAGTTGATCTTGTTGCTATTGTTCATTGTAGCAAGAAAGAGTAGGTAGGCAGCTAAGTTAAGGTCTCCGTTCTCCTTCAATATGTGTGTCCGTCACATGTTCTCCTCATTCCGTATTTCATATCTCTGGAAGTCTAACTTAACTTCTATTATTTAGGTTTCGTTTTGTTTGTTTTGAGACAGGGTCTCCCTGTAGCACCAGCTGGCTTGGAATTCACTATGTAGATCAGTTTGGCCTCAATCTCATAGAGATTCACCTACCTCTGCCTCCCGAGTGCTGGAACTAAAGGTGTATGGCCACCAAGCCCAGCTTAGTTTTTGTTGTATAGATTAATTCAACAGGATTGTCTTGCAGTGTAGTTAATGCAACTGTGTTCCAAAGTAACTCAACGTTTAACACCGCCATGTGGAGGGAAAAGAGCCTATGAATACTGGATGTCTTCCCATTATTTTCCTTTGAAACCCTAGTTGCAGAAAGTTGTATTTCACTTTCCACCATCTTTTAGATAACCCACATGTGTTACTTTACAGGCATGTTTTTTTTTTATAGGCACATTCCTTCTCCAAAAGCCAGAATAAAGAGACACTGCAGTATACAGTGATTTTCCCCTGAAATTGTGGATCTTTTTGGACCCACAACATCCTTTATTAGGAGAAACTTAGAGCTGGAACGGACAGTACTGCAGCATGGAAAGGCTCATGTCAGAAGTCAACCAGCACCAGCACTGGCATCTGCCAGGATTGGCCTTTGTACCAGTCTTGCCCACACTCAGGATGAAGGCCAGATCCTTCTCAGAAGGCAGCCTGCTCTATTTCTTCCCTGTGCTAATTATTAGCAAGTTCTTTCTTCTCTTGATTGCAATTACTTGCCTGTGACATTCCCCCACTGCTGATCTGTTCCCCCTCCGTCCCTACCCCCAGGACCGCAAATCACTTCTGGAGGACTGCAGGCTTCAGAGATGGGGCATGGACTCAGCACAGAGGGAGTTGAGCTCACTGTCCTATTCCTGGTTGTGTTTACTGGGAGTGAAAATAATTCTGTTAGTACTATAACCAGTAGACAGATATCAGCATATATAATCACGTTGTTTCAACATTAAATGGCATAACAGAGGATCTGAGACTGCCAGGTGCCTTTAAATTGTGTCCTTTGATTTTTATTTTCAGTAACATTCCTACTGATCAGCTAATGGTTTTAGAATATTCTGCTTATTTTCCAAATTTTACTCATTTTTCCTAGACCTCCATTTCTGGGTAGCAGGAAAGATATATTTCCCATTGTTTCTGAAAAATCTCTCTAGCTCTCAAGACAGTGCCAATCTCTACGAATTAAATAAAAATAATAGAAATATTATGCATGTGGTATTTTAAAAACTAACTCAGGGAGCGTTAGATGTTTCTGGAATAACCAGACATCATGAAGGATAATTAGCACATCCCAAAATGGTGCAGTAGGAGCTACACCCTATGATTTGATTTAATCCAGCCCATCAGTGTCCACCTCCTCTTTCGAATGTATATAGAGAGTGGGGCTCTGTTATGAATTTTACATGAGATACCTCATTCAGGTCAATGACTATTGCCTTTAGCTCCATCATTACTGAAATATAACACCCTTCCTATCTGACTTACTTTTCTGTTGCCCTGATAAAATATCCTGACAAAAGCAACTTAAGGGAGACAGGGTTGATTTTGGCTCACAGTTCCAGAGAGATACAGTCCCTCATAACAGGGTAGACAGGGCAACAGGGAGAGAAGGCATGGCCATCAGGTGCAGGAGTCTGGTTGGTCACATTGCATCCACATACAAGAGGCAAAGAATGAATGGGAGGTGGGGCTGGGCTTTAAAGCCTTCATATAAAGCCTTACGGTCTATCTTAAGTGATTAAGTGAATCACTTTCTCTAGCAAGGCTCCACCTCCTAAGGGTTCCATGGCCTCCCCCAAAAGTTCCACTAACTGGGGGCCAAGAGTTTAAATACATGAGCTTATGGGAGACATTTCACATCAAACCCACAACACTTCCCAGTTTGAAATTGGAATGTTCTAGCAAATTCTCATTCAGGATTAAATATCCTATTTTATAGCTGCAATGTTTGCACATGTTTGAGATTTTTCCTTTTAGCTTGGTTCACTGACCTAGTTCTGTGTTCTGTTGTGAAGTTATAAGGGGGTTTCTGGCACGCCAGCACTTGCTTCAGAAAATGAGTGTCAAGCAGCAAGAGGTCACATCCATCAAGAGCTTCTTGCAGAGCACAGAGGATATGGCACTGAAAACCTATGATGCCCTGGTCATTCAGAATGCATCTGACATTGCCAGGGAGAATGACCGACTCCGGAAGGAGGTGCATGCTTCCTGTCACAGGAACAAGCAAGAGGAGGGCACCAAAAGGTAAGACAGCCTATACCCTTAATTACCTCCGAGATGGGCTCCCAGGAGTCAGGAAGCACCTACAGCCCAGAATGCAAAGTTCAACCAGAAAACAGTTACAGGAACAGTGCTATTTGAGACTCCCTAGCAACCTTAGAATTGCTTTTCCTGGGCCGTTCCTTCATGAGTTAAGTACTATATGTGCTAGCCTAGTCACATGAGGTAATCATCGCTTCGTCAACCACTTAAAGACCTCAGCTTCACACAGAGCTCCAAAGCATCTGTATCTCTGCATTACAGAAGCATGTAGCAGGACATTTTAGCATGTTTACACAGGCATTATGGATATAAGGCTGGCTAATAGAAACTTCTGGAAATCTCTCCAAAGAATTGAGACACCAGTGTGAAAACATAGAAGTAGTGAACTTAATAAACCCAGACACCTGCGTACGAGGTTCCTTAGCCTGTCCATTCATCACCAGGAGATGTGGGGTTTTTTCTCCAGAAGAACTTGAAAATCTCTCTTGTCTCTCTGAAACCAACTCTCCCTTGCCATCACTGCCTGTGTCAAATGAATTTTTTTGTTGTTGTTGTTAAAGTGGAAATGGCAATGTGTCTTTGCTAATTAGCTTCCAAGATCTCAGTGATTAAATACTGAAAAAAAAAAGTCCCTCTGTACAGAAAACTGTAATTAAACATTACAGAGAAAACAAATTATCCAGTGAGTGGCCCACTCTCATCCTCAGTGACTTCATTTTCTACATGGGCGGCCAGCTCTGCACAGCAGTGGGTTCCAGTCCTGTTGGTGTTCTGCCACGGAAAGATATAATTATAAAACAAATGCCCAGAAACTCCTTTTACATGAGTGCTCTGGCATCGTGGTAGCTGTCCATGATTAAACTCACATGTGAAGGCAGAAAGAGTTTTTTTTAAAGCCAGATAACTATTAATTTCCATTGACTTCCCAAATAATATTTATTATTTTCTCTGCTGGAACTAAAGTTACCCCAATTTCTCAATTTGATTTTGTATTTATTTGCCTGATATCAAATTAAGTGAAGAAATATTTGTCTCATTTGTCGGACACCCGCAGTTCATTTGGCACTAGGAGACAGAACAGAGTCACAGGAAAAATGATACCCCTGCATATAATGAGCAATTGCTGGTAGGACTTAAATGGACGGGGGGGGGGATGCTAAACTGAATGGTGCTTAGTTCTGCATGGAGCTTTCTCCTCCTGCCAGGGGAAAGGCTGATGAACTCCAGCACTGGCTGCATCAGTAACTCTCCATTAAGATGGATTTCCCAGAAATTATCATTCAGATTGAAATTCTGGCTTTTTGATTTGCTTAAGAATCAGAGTGTGAAAATTTCATTCTGGGAATGGCTAATGGAAAATGTGAAGCCCTTTAAGTCTTACAGAGTTACTGGGAGAATGCTGAAAAGTAGCCTTGATAGGGCCATCTCCAGCACCCGTCAGGACCCAGATGGGGTGGGTGGCTCTCCCTGGATGAGCAGGGTGCTGAGAGCTGCCCAAGGATCTTCGGCAGCAAGGCCAGAGAGAAAGGCTCTCTGCCAAGGAGCCCTGTTGTGTCAGGGGAGCCGACTGTCAAGTGTCAACTAAATGACACACCTGGGCCTGTGTGCTCTGCCACTATTTGTGTTTTGCTTTCCCCTAAGAGCTGAAGACCAAGGTGGGCCCCGGCATGTCCACTCCAGCACCGTGTCAGTCCCCATGGCAGTGGATAGCCTGGCCCAGGCTCTTGCTGGACCGTCCATCAGGTCACCATCACTGCACTCCGTGTTCAGCATGGATGACAGCCCTGGTCTCCCATCTCCACGGAAACAGCCTCCACCCAAGCCTAAGAGGGACCCAAACACCCGGCTGAGTGCGTCCTATGAGGCTGTGAGTGCCTGCCTCTCTGCCGCCAAGGATGCAGCCAGTGAAGGTTAGCCAAAGGGGAACAAGCAAATGCTGTTCTTAGGGCTCATTGATGCCCTGGCTTCCGGTCTGTGAGTGCCCCATAGTACTACTGTGGCCCTAATATATTCTTAATAGAAGCAAATCCAATTGCTGGCTTGCCAGCAGCTCTTTAATCATTAAATATAAATAATGTTCAAATCCTTAAGCCTCTTAGGGAAAAGCTACTTATATATTATTTTCTTCACTCCGGGTCCCTCCTCTGCATTGAATTAGTAGCCTCAAAGCAGAACCAGTTCTAAAAGTTGGTTACTGCTCCATATAAATGTTCCCAAATTAAAAGGTACTCACCAGGCTTTCCCATGGCCACAATCCTAATTAAAAAGTAAGCCCCCTTTTTCATGTGGTAAGTGAAATGATTAACAGAGTCACTACAAAAAAAATTCCAGTCAGCATAACTTTGAAGACTAGATAACAAAGTCTCTGTTCTGAGGGGTCCAGAAACATTTATGCAAAAAATGGAAAATGACACTTTGTGCTTCATCAGTTCTCAAAGATCCATATATGGTAAGTATGGGTTAATGATTCGTTTTAGAATTGGGAAAACAAAGTTAGTACTTAACAAGACATTCACAAATCCGGTGTTTACAGATCAGCATACATATATGGACCCTATAGTGGCTGGCCACCACACACCCAGGTGCATGTGTCTTCCGTTCATGGAGTTAACATTCTCCTGGGAAAGGGCAAGGAGATAAACAGGTCAGACAAGTGAACCCCTGATGATTTTAGCTGGAGATCACTGCTGTAGGGATAAATAAAGTTGGTGGGAGGATGGAAGGGAGGGAAGATTCGAGATAAAATGGTTGAGTAGTCTTCCCTAGAAAACAGAATCTGAATATGACATGGAACTGAGTTCTCTCACTGACTCAGTGATCCAAAGATGCAGAAATGGAGCACGAGAACAAAGTTAACCCAGGAAAAGATAACTGCCACCAAAAGGGGATCCTGGTCTCTGACCCTGTGGCAGACAACCTCAGCAGGGCACACGTCTGAGACCTCTTCCAAGTGATATTCATCACTGGCTATAAAGAATAAGATAAAGGTCTTTGGGGGAATTTTGCTTTAAAAAGGGCTGCTGTTGGGGCTAGAGAGATGGCTCAGTGGTTAAGTACACTGGCTGTTCTTGCAGAAGACCTGGTTTCAAATCCCAATACCCACATGGCAGCTAACAACTGTCCGTAACTCCAGTTCCAGAGGATCCAACAGCCTCTTCTGTCCTCTGCGGGCATTGCACGACATGGTGCACTTATCTACATGCAGGCAATACACACATACACATAAAATAAAAATAATAAATAAAATATTTAAAAATAGAAAGGCTGCTGTTTACTGTACAAGCCAGTTAGGGCAACCCCAAGGAGAGGGTGTAGAAGTTTGCCCATCCTACTCGTGCAGGGAGGACAGTGCAGCTCAAGACCCTTTATGTTCCTGTACTGAGTTCATCAGTGGAAGCTGGAGAACAAGTCCAGAGACTGGAAGACAGCCTTGCAATGGATGTCCACTGGACACAGACAGAGTCAGAGCAGGGCCTGGGAAGCCGTTTTCTTCTCCCACTAAGCTAGGCTGTGAGGCGCCGCTTCCAGTTTGCACAATGCCTGTGACTGTGGGGCAGTGGGGTGGTCTCACTATCACTGCCACCGCTGTGGGGCCTCCACTCCAGATCTGTGTGCAAATCTGAGAAGGAAGCGAGCGGAATAAGAAGGGAAGATGTGTGAGTAGCATGGGAAGAAAGAATGGCATCTAAATTGCTAAAGTGACTGGGGCAGGTGGGGCCCAAGGTCTCAGACTAAAGCCTCCAGACACATGAAACAAAATTGAAAAATGCAGCCTCTGTGAAGTGAAGCCCCATTTCTGTTTTCACAAAGCGAGTTCTCTAAACTTGCCTGAACGGGCCTCTGAACTTCTTAGGAAGCCCAACCAAGGTCTCCGGTTTGTGTGCACACTAGGAAGCTGCAGTACTGGGGTTGTCAGGCACCAGTAGTCACAAGGTAAGGAGAAATAAAGTAGTGAGAAAGACTGAACATGAAATTGTGCCCAAGACCTGTGATAGGAGCAGAAAAATCAACAACGAAAACACCAGAGTCCCTGAGACTCAGCAAAGCTACGGGGTAGAGCTGGAGTCCCAGGGTTCTTAAACATGCCCTTGTATTTTCTCATTCTCCTTTCTTTTGTTTTTCACAGACTGGGTCTTGTGCACTGGTGCAAATGGTGGCTTAAATACCATTAACATGCCTTAACAAAAAAATCCCAAAGGCAAGTTGTTCTAGTAGTTTGTTGATAAACACCAAGACCCAAAGCAACTTGGGGAGGAAAAAGTTGATCTCATCTTACAGGTTACAGTCTATCATTGAAGGAAACCAAGGCAGGAAGTCAAGGCAGGACCTTGAAGCAGAGACCATGGAGGAACACTGCTCACTGGAATGCTTCCCCTGACTTACTCAGCTACCTTTCTTACACAGTCCACACCACAGTGGGCTGGGTCTTCCTACATCAATTAGCAATCAAAACAATGCCCCACAGGCATGCCCACAGGCCAATCTGATCGAGGAAATTCCTCAACTCAGAGTCCCTCTTCCCAGGTTTGTCAAAAAGACAACCAAAATTAGCCATCACAGACATATTTTATATGAAGAAACTTTTCTCTTAATGAACTTGAACATGACACAGGACCCCGTGACTTCCTGATATCAGATCAGTGGCATTTTTGAGCTACTGAGACTTGAAAATGCAGTATGACTCTCAGGCTCCTATTGGACACCAATAATTGCCCCAACGTTCCCCCATCAATCACCCTGTGACCATGAAGTGTCTTTGGGCTTCATGCCATGGCATTAATACTTGCGATTATTTTATACGTAAACTTAGGGGCTAAAAAAAGAGGAAAACTAGACATAAAGAAACTTTAGTAGTCCTTACATCCATATTTGCAAATTAGCTTGTCACATGTGTATACCCAGAAACAGCCACAAGATCAAATTAGACTTTAATATGCTACCATGATTCCCTAATTTTAGTACTGGCTCAGAGAGATCCCAGTTCAATATTCAGAGGATGCGGCAGAAGACTGCAGGTTACAGAATCAATGCAGTTCTACAGTGAACCACCTTTGCCAAGACTCCAGCCACACTTTAAGGAACACTGTCTCACTCCCACAACTAGTTCCAACAATTCATTTCTGGCTGAGGAGTAGGAATAATGTGGGATGGAAAAACAGGCACCTGCTGACATTTGGGGCTACACTCAGTATCTCCCGTCCTTACAGCTGCCCACGGTGGATCATGATGGCTGTGATCCACCTTTTAGATGGGGATACAGAGCAAAGTGTGACATACCCAGTGCCACACAGCCAGCCTTGGCCTGGGCAGGAGGACCTTGTTTCTAGACTGCCTAATCTAAGCTCTGTGACTTTTACACTTCATCTTTTAGTACAGAAGGCTTCACCTGGAGAAGTGCTGCATCCATGTCCTGTTGCTTAGCAACCCACCCAAACAGTGATTTAAATAAGATGATGACTGTTTGACTTTGTCTCTCAGGCTCTGAATCACAGTAGACCTGGCTCAGCTAGCTGTCCTCACTCAGGGTCCCACATGAAGGTGGCTGGGATCATCTAGAAGCAGGTCACCCCATGTCTGATGCCTTAGCCACCTGAGGCCTGAGCATCGGAGGTTTTGTATCTGTAACCGACCTCTGCTCTTGCTTGAGTGGCATGGAAGCTTCTAGGGTTTGAACTTTGAATGTGGAGAATTAGTGCTACAAGGCATACACCCTGGGGGGAGGGAAGCAATTAGATGGGGTGCCACTTTTACAAGCTACCGTGGAGAGACAGGAGGCATCATGTCCGCCCCATCCCATCCATTAGGGCAATCCCAGGGCCTGTCTGGGTGTAGGAGGAGATGTGGATTCTAACTCTTGATAGAATCAGAGAAATAACTTTGTGGCAAATATTTTAGAAAATTTCATGGCTTCAGTTTATTCTCTGAACCAAACAATTCACTCTTTTCTCATATATAAAATACAGTTACAGTACAGTTACATCCTCCTACAATCCCAAGTTATCATCTACCATCACCTAAAGGTCAAGACTCACAGACATCCCTGAAGAGACAACAGGAGTTCCTGGCTTCTTCTCAGCCTGCTTTTCTTCTCTTTGTGGTGTTCATATTCACTTCAGGCAAGGCTTCTAGCTGGTCAGCTCCTTAAGGCTTCTAATCTAAAAAGATAGCCAGCGTCCACTGGAGGAAGAGGAATAGAATGCCTGGGACCCAGAATGCTGGGTCCCTGGTATGCAGCATTCTAAGCAACACCTGGACCTAGGTGGGAGCGGAGTCCTGGTGTCTGTGTGTCAGCTTCTATGGTTATTAAGTTGATGCTCTGGAACAAGGGTCACCTTTGGATTGCAATTCTTCACTCCACAGAGACATCCTTAGAACTGGCTGTACTTTCAGCCCGCTCCTTGCACATGAAGTTCTAGGGGCCAGTCTCTACATTTCAGGGCACACAGACTTAATTCTTTTGAAACTTTCTGAACTGTTTGTGGGTCAATCCAAAAACAGCCCATTAGTCAGCCATGTCCACAGTTCTTTGACCTCTCCTGTACTGAGGGCTCTCTGCACTGTCTGTGAGGCAGTACTCTGGGGCCTGTGGCTTTGCTTCTTTGAAGAGGTCTATGAAGGACCATCATGTCTCTGTGAAGCCCTAATGGAAGGTATCCTTGGTGTGGGCTTGGCTTTATTCAGATCACATTTTTCTGGTTATTCTCTGTATTTCATCTGTGCCACAATTCATTCTTCCATGTTAGAATCACAGGCCCTCTGCAAAGCATACTAGGGAGAAGTGTTGTGTTTACAGACCCAGAATACCCTGTTCCTTTCTGGTAGTAAGCCCTTCGTTGCCTCATCTCTTCACTGTCACCCTGGAAGAACCCTGGAGAAAACTGTGCCACTCTGCCTGAAAGTCCTCCCAACCAGGCCACCTAGTCCTTTGTTTCCCATTTGCCCTGTCCCTGCAGCCAAGAGCCCTGTCTGACTTTGCATGGCTTCCTCCAGTTGTCAGGCCTTACCTTCCCTGGAACTGTTCCCAGAACGTCCCAGGGACCACTGGCTTCTGAGGAGGGTCTCTTCAAAGTTCTGATCTCCTCAAGCTAGGCCACTATTCCACAGTGAGACCCAAGAACACATACAGGTTTCTGTGACTGCATGAGGTATCCAGGGTTATGTAGCAAACCTCCTAGAAGGCAGTGACATGGGATCCAAGAATGTTGTCAGTGTTGCTTGCATTTAGAATCTTCTTCACAGACTTGGTTACAGCTGTCCTCACAGCTGGGGGTCCCCAAGGGTGTGGCTCATACATTTTTGGACTCTGGAGGAGGATCACATGGATCTTCAGACCTCTAGCTCTTCCTGCTCTGAGGCCCCTTCTTCCCTGGTGGTATTGCTCTCCTCTCCACATGGTCCCTTCCTCCCTGAGGCCTCTCCAAGAGGTCTCTGGAGAGGACACTTAAAGGTGTCCACACTTCTTAAGGTCAGACAGGGCCCACATAGCATGAATCCCATCAAGTGGGAGCCAGGCATAATCTGTTCTATCTTGGCCCAGCCTCAGCAGACAGGACCCTCCCCGTACATCAACCTTGTCAATATTTTGTTCTCTGGGGCAGCCAGAGACCCCCACACATACCCAGGGCCAAGGTTCAGGATGGACATATAGGGGCTAAAAATTTAGAAGTCAGTTGGAGCAAATACCATCTGCCATCAATCTTTTAATTGTTGATATCTGCAGAGAAGTTCTGCAATGATATCAAAACCAAAATAAATAAATAAAGAGGTGGGTTGAAGCTCAGGAGCTACTATGGTCAGCTGTGGGATGATGCGTATCCATTGAGGAACTGAGTCGTTAGCATCTGGACCATTTTCCATTGTTAATAAGTGTATGCTTTAGAGCAGCCTTGTATGACACTAGCATACAAAGATGGTCGTGGAGGTAGAAAACCAACCTTGTCCTTTGCTGTGCTCATTAGGATATGGACACAGGGCACCAACGGAAGGAAGCACTCTGCAGACACTTGCTAGCCATCCTCAGCCTCTGGGAGCAGCTTCCCCAAGCCATGTGTTTTCACACGGAGGCTAAGAACAGCCTGTACATCCTGTACGGTTACATTTTCCCACTTTGACACACTCCAAAGCCACTGGACTCTGTCACCCTAGTGGATAGATACCTCTTCCTAACTCACTTTGTTGTTCCTTTCCTGTGGGACAGCTTCCTCAGCATGGAGACAGTGCCTCCTGAGCCAAGACCAAAATGCAGTTTCCCTTGGTGATCTTGGGTGTCCAGGTCCCCCGAGGTCCTGAAAGATAGAAGTAACTCAAGCCAAGAGTCTCTTCTGCTCAGAGAGCACTGAGCTATCACCCAAGGTGACTCTGGGAAGGGCCACTGATGCCCAGTCAGGCCTGGCTTTCCTGGGGCACCTTACTTACTAAATCTTCTATTTCCCTGTCTTCTGCCTTAGCTCTGACAAGGCCCAGACCCCACAGTGATGATTACAGCACCATGAAGAAAATCCCTCCTCGCAAGCCAAAGAGAAGCCCCCATACGAAGCTCAGTGGCTCCTATGAGGAGATCTGGGGACCAAGGCCCCCAGGTGCGGTGGGCCAAGCAGTCAGGCACCAGGTCCCAGGGACACTGTGTGTTCAGTGGCCCAGGCCTGACTTAGTGCCTCAGTGTACTCCACAGATGCCCATGAGCCTTCCATTGCCACAAGGGGCCTACGAGGATGATTCCGAGCCTGTGTACATCGAGATGGTGGGGAACGCAGGCAGGGCAGGTGGGTCAGAGGCCGACAGCCTTGACCAGGGTGAATCTGTGTATGAGGAGATGAAATACTTCTTGCCAGAGGAGGGCTGTGGACCAGGGATGCTCTCCTTCTTGCCTGCCTCACCCCCTCTATTTTTGGAGTCTCGAAAAGCCATCACCTTGGGGCCTGGTGAAGGGAGCTGCCAGCCTCCCAAGGACACCTGTGAAATCCCTCCACCCTTCCCCAATCTGCTTCCCCACCGGCCACCTCTCTTGGTCTTTCCTCCCACCCCAGTAACCTGCTCCCCAGCCTCTGATGAATCGCCACTGACACCTCTGGAAGTGAAGAAACTGCCTGTCCTGGAAACCAACCTCAAGTATCCTGTGCAGTCTGAAGGTTCCAGTCCATTGTCACCACAGTACTCCAAAACCCAGAAGGGGGACAGCGACCAGCCAGCATCCCCTGGATTCACTGTGTTTAACGGATCCAGCCGAGTCTCACCACCTTCCACACCACCGCCACCCCCTGGGCCACCCCCTGTACCCTGTGGGCCACCCCCTGTGCCCTGTGGGCCACCCGCTGCACCTTGCCGGCCACCCACACACTTCGCCTTTCCACCAGATACTGTCCTTGCCACTGCAGCTAAAGCAACGGGCAACTCAGACCTGCCCAGAACACAGCCAAAGCCCAGTTCAGCCCCCGTGCCAGGTCCCTGCAGCTCCTTTGGCAAGGCCCCGTATTCACCAGGAAGGGCAGCAAGAGCCGACCTCAGGAAGACCTCATCCACCACCTCCTCCCCACCAGGCCATCACAGCCCACCCAACGCCAGGCCACTGTCCAGCCCCCTGGATGAGCTGGCCAGCCTCTTCAACTCGGGAAGGAGTGTGCTGCGTAGGTCTGCGGCAGGACGCAGGATCAGGGAGGCTGAAGGTGAGCAGAAACTTACTGTATCACATGTGTTTGTCTGTGTGTCTGTGTGTGATACCACATCCGTGTTCATGATATCAAAATAAAGTGGATGGGGATGGTACTGACCTTTCAGAGCAGGTATCAATCTGAAAACCAATCCTGAACAACCAGACCGTAAGGTAAGAACATGTCTTTCGGTGACTTCCCAGAGTATGGAAATGCTTAGCGCTGAACTGACTTAACTAGTACTCGAGGCATGTGAGTGACAGCAAGGTTTAAATGTACCTACTGGTTTCTTTCCCAATGACTCTTCCTAATAGTGTGGACTGCAACATGATGTGGCTGTTTTGCATTTGGTTTACTGCTCACCATCCTTCCCTGTTATCCTGCCCTGCATGGTCTTATTTCCACCCACGGTATCTGAGATTGTTACCTGCCCTCCCTCCGTTACTGCCTTCCACTCACTGGCTGTGTCTCTGGGTGGGCAGTTTTTCTTCACTCACATACAACCCAAGGAACAGCTCAACTTGGTTCTGTTTTTGTTTTCTCATGGGCAGCTCAGCCTAAGGACCACTCCAGTGACCTGGGCTTTAGGCTGTTGCAGCCAGAGACAGCCACCCACAATAAGAAACACTCACGTTGTATTCTGAAAATGAGGAATGTAGCGAGCAACACCATTCACTGAGAATTTTCTGATAATCCCTTGTAAGGAGCTCATCACATCCTCTTCATTCAGGGGTGATCCTCTCTGTCAGCATGCTGTGCTTACAGATTCTCACCACCATCACAGAGTGTCATCACTTACAAATGTATTAAAGGTTCCTTTACCAAATCTAACTATGTTCTGAGTGTCCTGTACTTTGGAGAAGAAATGAGGCATCTCCTATTCCAAGGAGAAATGCAGCAGCCAGACCCCCATGTCCCACTGAGGCAGAGGGCACCTGGTAACAGAGCCATTAAGCAGATGGAAAACTTGCGGATTAGGAGCAGTCTTTCTCAGGGCCAGGTGGTAGGGCTGACCCTGAGCCCCATCTGTGGCACGGCATTTTGTCTATGCATTAGCCTGCTCTTTCTTCAAAATGGAATGCATAAATATGTTAGCTGCCCTGACTTGAGAAGGACATGATTTTAGGCACCAAATCTAGAAAACCCAAAAAACAATCTGAAAAGTAGGTCGAGGCTAAGAAACTCTGACAAGTGGATGGATCATCGACTCTAGCTATGCCTCAAGGAAACTGATTGTTTAACAATTTCTTCTTAATTGTATGCTATTAATAAATGAAACTGTACTTCTAAATAGGAACAGAATGCTGGAATTTCACAGTTCATTTCAAAGAAGACAAAGGGTTCCAACAGCCAGGCGTGTGGAACATGCTTTTAATCCCAGCACTCAAGAGGCAGAGGCAAGTGATTATCTATGAGACTGAGTCCAGCCTGGTCTACATAGCAAGTTCCAGGCCAACTGGGCCTACACAGAAACCCTGTCTCAAAAAAAGTTTATAAAAAATTATATTTGGTATTAGAACTAAAAGTTTTTTAAGCCCCACCAAATTAATATTCTTCTTGATTTCATTCTGTTAAAGTAAATTAAGTCTGTGAATATCTAGACAGAGAAATCTCACTGAGAAATTTCAAGGTTGGGGATAGAAAAAAGAGCTAAGCTTTTAAGAGCTTTTGCTTCTCTTACAGGAGACTGGAGTTTGGTTCCCAGTATCCACATCAGAGGCCACACAACTGCCTGTACCTCTAGCTCCAGGGCATCTGATGCCCTGCTCTGCCCTCTGGCACCTGCACTCTTATGTACATACACACACACACATAGATACACACACATAGCACATATTCACATACACATACAGACAGAGAGAGAGGCACACACAGAGAGAAACACATACAAACAGAAAGAACATAAATAATAAAATATTTTTTACTTTAAAAAAAGAAAATTTCAGGGTTGGTGAATGAGAACCTCCAGGAACAACCTGTAACTTTACTAATTTTTTAAACGTTGTGGTGATGTCAGCTTATACTTGGGAGCATCTATCAAACCTCAAGCACAGGACTGCTGTTTCAATTGTAAGATAAGACACCTATTTTCCATTTGTGGGTTTTCAAAAAGCACTCCTAATTTGAAAAATTTATTTGAACCATTTACGACCATCTCTGTAAGAACAGAAAATTTAACAATATGAGCCTGGGCCTCCCTTACCCAGACACATTTGAGAACTAGATAATTCTCCATGATCTGCAGTGAGGGGAATATATTTACAAGCTTGAGTGACGTGTCCTCCTGAGATAGAAGAGGCTGATCTCTGAGAATGTGAAAGGGGTTGGGATAAGAAATTGAAGGAAAAGGTTTAGTGCCTGTGCCGTTGCGCGGGAGCAGCTTACATGATTATTAAGGTTTACACGATTTCATCCAGAGAAGAGTAAATCCACTTTCTTCTGAATGGGTGACTGGCTGTTTCTCACAGTTTGCTGTAGCCCAGGGATCACTTTCCTTCCACGCTGTTCTCAGTCTTCTTTCTTGGCCTCTTCATGTTTAAAGGCATTTTATAGCTAACGTTCTTTTCATATCAAGCCGTCTCTCTTGTGACTAATTTGCCCCGGAGGCACCAACATCCACAGCGGTTCACTGCTTGGACAGCTGTAGTGTGCAGAGATGGCTCTGCAAATTTTGCTGAAGGTTCACAGTGTTTCTCCTACTTTCTGATATGGTGACCTTGAAGAGATTCAGTTGCCCAAGAAGTCCCTGTCGCAGGTGTTTCCAGTACAGGCATGTTGTATTATAATGTCCTGGGACTGGTATACAGGAAGGGAGAGTCTCTGGTGTTTAGTGATTCTACTCCATGACTTTTCTAGAAACTTCTATGTTGGAATTCATGAATAACAATGTTCCTCAAAACAGTTCACTGCTTGTTTTTCTTTCTTTGTTTGTTTGTTTGCTTGCTTGTTTGTTTGCTTTGAGGCAGGGACTCATTATATAGCCCAGGCTGCCCTCCAATTCATGGCAGTCCTCCTGGCTCAGCCTCCAGAGGACTGAGATTACATGCATAAGCCACCATGCAAGGCTTCCAAATAGACCCTTTAGATATGCCTCATGAGACACAGAATCCTGAAAATTCTAAGAGTACAGAATATACATTCAGAAAAAATATGACTTTGTGCCTGACAGGTGCAACTGCTGACCAAAACGAACAATAGCACCAGGTGAGCACAGTCGGTTTCCACGCACTGTTCTAATAAGCTGCTGCTTTGTCGCCTCCTCTACATCACATCCATTTTATGGTGGGGGAAACTGAGGCACAGAGCTATCATCGGCTTACTCAAAGTTACTCTGCTTGTAGGAGACAGAACGTGACAGGAGTCATATAGTCCTGTGTGGATTCCTCACTTTTAACTCCTTGTGTAATGCTGCCTAACAAAAGATGGAGGTTTGTAAAATGCACATTTTTACCACCGTAGTGCTTAATTGTTACAGAGTTTGGGTGGAGTTTCATAGACGCAAAGATGTGGTACGTGTGCTTTTCACATCGCAGGTCCATATAGGCACATAAAATTCCAGAAATGGTATTAGACCACCTGGCTCTTGAGGTAAAAACTGACTAGCAATTTTGCTGCTTTCACCCTTCACGATATAAAGATTCCCACGAATGCGCAAATGTTTTTCCTCTGATGGTGTGGCTAACATTATTGTGTTAATTATTTTTAGTTGCTTCCTTTGAAAACATGAGGCCTAATTCGAAGAGGCTCGGTCCAGCCACTAGGAGGCACCATTGCTCTGAAAGGTTGTTCGGGTCTGAGTTTATCTGAGTAACAGTTTTTTTTTAATTTTTTAAAAATTATTTACTTAATAACCACATGATTAGAAGAAGCATTTCATTACAACA